GCCCTCTTATTTGGCATTTTTTAGGCAGGATTAGGTAAAGACACTGAAAAATGCTACATTCTGTCCTAGTATCTTGAGATCTGCAGCAAGACTGTTTCCAGCCATGGGATGCTGCCCGATGTAGCTGGTGGTGAGAGCTACCACAAAACCCAGCATGTGTCTCCAGGGATGCAGAGCTGGGTTCAAGGCACTGATGATGCTGCAGGGAAAAGCCTGAGTTTCTTTGCACATCTTTATTTGCCAGCAGAGACTGTAAAAATCCCTTGCATAATTCAACTGCTGCCATAACAAATCATCCCACCAGCAAAAGCCTTTTCAGAAAGCATGATTTGATCACAACAAACTTTGACCTAAATGTGCTGCAGGCCTGTATGACAGGTTTTAAACTTTTGCTGTCACTTCCTTCTGAGAGGCAGAGTGAATCTAGGTCAGCCCCCCCCCTTGCTTGTTTGTAATGAGGCTAATTCTGATTTCATTCATGTTGCATCTTCAAGTTTGAGATGGGGGAAAAAATGGGATATTTGAAAAGGTGAGTCAGCCTCAAAATCATTCTTAAATCTCATCTTGGAACAAAGGAAGTGGTTTGACATTGCATCCCAAGGCAACATTGATGGTGTCATTTATTATTCAGGGTGAAAAAGAAATACAGAATTTTCCTTCTTTTCCTTTTTATTTAGATTGCAGCACTAAGCAGTGAGCTGAATTAACAGGCCTGTGTCCATGGCTTTCACAGTGATTAACAGAAAGGCCTATTCTGAGCGAGCGGGCAGCACACACTGTGTCAGGCTGCTGCTCTGGGCACAAAGAGGGGAAGTGGCAGAACACAAGGTTATTAGTTTATCTGGAGTTTCTAGGCAAGCACAATGCCAAAAATAGAGCCACTTGTTTGTTGATCTCCTCTGCAATGGCAGTTCAGGACAAGATGCTGCATTCATCTATTGCTGAAGCAGCCAGTGCTGTTTTTCCCAGGACTGAGATTCTCTTATGGCATGCACAGTACAACTGTGTTGCCTTTGCATATATAGCTGCAAAGTCCAAATGTACGAGAGAAAAGTTTGGGAGAGAGTAACAACTGCTGTATATGTTTGTCTAGAGAACTGCAGGTGGATAATGGCGATTCCTCTATAGGTAATGGTTTGGAAATAACTCTGCCTCCTGGCCACATGCTGGATTTAAGGGCAGAATTGAGATAAGAGTGGGGCAGGGAAGGTGTTTGCCCTTATTTTTATGCTAGGAGTCATTATGCATGGCAGGACTAAATTACTTATTTTAGCCATGTTTGTGGGCTCAGTGAGTCTTAGACTGCGCCAAGGAATGAACCTCCACTATCTGGGCTCTGAATCAGAATCTTAAACAAATAAAATGGACTGTGCTGGAAAGGCATATACTGAAGCTTTCCACTGGCTGAGCACTGCATCCTTGTGGCATTCAACACCTGTAGGCTACTGGTATCAATATAGGAGGCAGCAGAGACCTCTACACTCTCACCCAGTCTGTTCAGGGGTGGAGGAAACCTGCACTGCCCATCACCAGGAGCAGCCATGCAGGAGCTAAAGAGTATGCGGGGAAGGATTTATCAGCCTCATTTCTGCTTCTGCTTATGTGTTTCTCCCGAAGGCCATTGCTTGAGTCAAAATGCCCATGCATTGAGAAATTACAACTTTCATTGCCTGCTGTTTTTGCTAGAAATAAATATGAGTATTTGGTTAGGCTAGTGTGATAGAAGAGGGGTTCAGCTTCATTCAGCATTTTTGTCCAGCATGTGTAGATCTGGGGAACAGAGCAGGTGTTTGGTGGGACATGGGTAAGGGAGACAACTGAGGGTTACTGTCTGGGGACCTCAGTGTCAGGAGTGACTATAAAATTGCCTTTGCAGCTCATTGGGGGTTATTTTCAGTGAGAAAACCACTAACCTGCCACTGTGCCACCTGCCACTAACCAGACACCGTGGTTCTGGTGTCTGCTTTTGCAAGGAGGGAGTTACAGATGCCATCAAAGATGGCTTGCCTGCACCCTGTCTGCAACTGAGACAGGCAGCATGGAAGCTGAGGCTCTGATTTTGTATCTCTCTCCTTTCTTTTCATGTCTCCTCCCTCCTTTGAAGTGGGACACCAAGACACCTTTGAATGAGCTTGTGTTGGAATCCTGAAATTTCCAACCTGGTATTCCTGATCCAGTGCTAACCTATCTGTTCCAGCAGGTGCCCAGGGGGCCATTAATTATTTTTGGTAAGCATGAGGAGTTCCTCAGGTCTGGCTAAAGGGAATGGGTATGTCACTGTCAATAAACACGCTTAGTCAAAATAGCAAGAAAAATTTGCCTTAAATATGCCAAATTCAGTATAGTAGTTTTTGTGGAAAACAGCTATTATCTTTGTATATTTGACAAAAGTTAATTGTTAAATGTCAGCAGTTCTGGTAAAGTGTAATTAAAAATATCTCATTGATACCTCTACCTTCACTTTTTTTTCCCTTGCCACTGCTTCCTAGAGTGCTTGCCTTGTGTTAATTGAAGAAGTGAAGAGTTGATTTAGCAGGAAGGTGGGAGAAAACAGCCTGAAGATCAGTCATCCAAATCACTCCAGTAATGAAAACAGTTGCTCACTACATCTATCATAATTTCTTCTTAGAGTCTTACGGAAGATTAGTTGCTGCAACTATGCAGATGCACACATGCCTAGTAGAGCTCTGCAGACATGCCAATCTAGGGCAGTAACTCCAGGCTGCGGAAAAAGACTGCTTTTTGCAAGTATAAATTACACACCAAAAAAAGTGGTCAGATAAAAACACTTTTTATGTTTTTCCAGTTGCATTCATTTCATGAAATGTTATACCCCGTTTACCTCACATTGTTGTGTGAGCAAAGCTTTTTTAAGTGTGAGGCCAAAATCTTTTTTGGGTAGCTTTGGTGCTATTGCCAAGACATTTGTATGTAAAGTTCAGGTCCTTTGAAGTCACATCATAGTTCTCCACAGCTGAAACACACCTGAGAGCATCTTAATAAATGTTGCAAAACTGACAAAGAACAGAGTGAAGGTGAAAGGTGCTGAAAGGATATATCCATGAGAGTTGACCTTACTCCTGCCTGCAGGTATGTCCTGAACAGAGCAGCTGAAAGTCCATGAACAAAATTAATTGGTTTACACAGAGAAAATATTTTCAAAACTATGCAGAATTCAGTGCAGAGTGTCAAAAGGAAGCCAAAATAAGCTATATATCAAACTAAAATGCTGTCTTCAACAATTCAAGAATGCAGGATTTCGTTAATTTTTTTTTTTTTTTTTTTTTTTTTTTTTTTTTTTTTTTTTTTTTTTTTTTTTTTTTTTTTTTTCCAAAATTGAGTGCTCACCAGTCATGGGGAAAAGGTAAAAAGACATTTAAAGTGGGTTGGCTTAGCAAGGTTCTAAATGCAGAAGCAGAGCTGGCTCTGACCCTAGGCCAGCAGGCCAGGGCAGACCCTGTTTGCTGCTAGTCTCTGCTGTGCCTTACTGCTGCTTGTACTCTGCTGCCAGGGAATGAGCCACCAAAGGCTTTGCTTTTTGCTTTGTTATTGACTCCAGGCAGTTGTAAAACCCCCATGATGGGTTGTGACAGAACCTTAGTGTTTGCTTGGACACTTTGACCTGCACACAGAGGAGTGGCTTTGGGCAGAAGCCAGAGGAGGTGGTGCTGGACAGCCTAAGCATGCCCCTGCCCTCCGTCCGGCCAATGGCTGATGCTGAGCACCTCTGCTATGAACACAGGCCACTATGAGAGAGGTGGGGTTCTTCAGCCTGGAGAAGAGAAAGTTTCAGGGACACCTTATAGCACCAGTCCCTAAAGGGGCTACAAGAGAGCTGGAGAAGGGCATGGAGCAATAGAACAAGAGGGAATGGCTTTAAACTGACAGAGGGAGGGATTTAAATTAGATATAAGAAAGAAATTTTTGACTGTTGAGGATGATGAGGCCCTGGCACAGGTGGCCCAGAGCAACTATGGATGCCCCATCACTTGAAAGGTCAGGTTGGATGGGGCCCTAAGCAACCCGATGTTCCTGAAGATGTCCCTGCCCATGGCATGGGGAATTGGAACTGAATCATCTTTAAGGTCCTTTCCAACTCAAACCATTCCACAGTTCTATAGTATCCCTATTTTCTCTTTTCTGATTTTGTTTTCTAAACAAAGCTGAGAGCTCATGTGGTTGTGTGTAACCACAGTCCGACCACAGTGATTTGGTGTCTTCTTACTCCTGCTGGTGTGGAATGAAGCACAGAAGGTGCCTGGAAGCCCCAGCCATGGGGCTAGGCTGCGGGAGCTGGATATCCTGGCTACGGGAGCTGGTTATCCCGATTGAGGGAGCTGGATATCCCGGCCGAGTGCTGTTTTCCTGCGGCTGAGAAACCTCTGAGCGAGGGGGCTGCTGAGCTTACATAACTGCTGGCGCTTCTGCAATGCACACGTTAAAACGGGTAAAAAGCATTAACAGAAAGCGAATGGTCTTATTCTGGAGTAATTGGTTGAAAAAGTCCCTGTGGGGTTGGGCTTGCCTGAGTGGTGGCTGCCCGGGAGCGGAGCCGCGGAGCAATGGGAAGCAAAGGCACCGGGAAAGGCTTCAGCGACTCGAAGTGCGAAACTTCGCCTTGTAATCTCTTCTTGCCAGCACCTCTGCCCGAGGGCGGGAGCCGGGCGATTGTCCCGGCGGCAGCGGAGGCTGGAGGGGTGTCGGTCCCACCCGGAAGGCGGGGAGGGGCTGCAGGGCCGGCGGCTCGAGCGGAGACCCCCGCCCGCCCCGCGCTGCCCGGCGCCGCCGCGCGGTGGCGCCATCGGCCCGGAGAGCGACTCAGTGCCCCGCCGCGCACCGGACACCCTCCGCGCGGCCCCCCCGCTCCGCCCCGGGCAGGGCGGTGGCACTGCCGGGGAGGGGGCGGTGGTCTCACCCCAGGACGGGACGGGGCCGGGGGCTGAGAGCTGCCTTCGGGGCGGGAGGAGGGGGGGCCCCGGCAGTGGCGGGCAGAGGTGCATATGGACCGGCTGGGGAGCAACGGGAGCTGCTCAGGCTGCCGGCTGGAGGGGGGCCCGGCGGCGGGAGCCGCCACCGGCCTGGCGGTCGTGCTTATCTTCACCATCGTAGTGGACGTGCTGGGCAACGCGCTGGTCATCCTCTCTGTGCTGCGGAACAAGAAGCTCCGCAACGCCGGTGAGCGCGAGGCGGGCGCGGGGCGGGCGTGAGGGGCGGGCGGAGCGGAGCGACCCCGCACCGCGCCCCGGGCTCGCCGCCCCGGCCCCTCATAGCACCGCTGCTGGCGGGGCAGGAGCCCGCGGGGGGCGGCGAGAGCAGAACCGCAGTCCCGCACCGGGGTGGTGAGGGCACCTCCGCTGGGGAGCCCCGGGTCCGATGTGCCCCGGCCAACGGCTCCGAGCTGCCGGTGAGCTGAAGTAGTGCCCGCCCTCTCTGGTGACCGGGCTGCCGCCGGGTTCCCGGCTCACTCTCTGCCCGTCCCGTCTCTCTGCTGCTGCTGTCCTCCGACTTTTCAAAACTTTTGTCCCCCAGAGGCAGCTGCAAACGGAGGAGCCAGCTCAGGTAATACCCACGTCCCTTCAGCCGACCCGCGCTGGGAGGAGCGGGGCAGAGGCGCAGGTGAGGACGACTCCGAGTGCCGCGTCAGGTGTTGAGCAAGAGTGTTCGGGTTTTTAAGACTAGTCCATTACAACACTGTAAACTTCCTTTTGTGTTCCAGTGTTTCAGTGTTTTAGTATTTTTATTATAAATCTGCTATGCTGAAAGCAGAGTGAAGAATTTACATGTTTTTTTAACTGGTAATTTGGAAGTCTGCTTTGTAGCCTTATGTATTGACGTCCATTAGTAATTAATCTAGGAAAATTGTTAAACTGATATTATTCAGTATTTTTAAGAAGGCTGTATTATTTGAGTGTGTAAATTTATTTCCTTCAAAGTCTTGTTATTTTAGCAAAGAATAGTCCTGGATATCAGTATAATAATAGAAAACTTATACTGGATATAAGTTGCTCTGTAAGGAATTTTAAGTAGTCTGTGTAGTACTGCTAAAATTGTACCATAGAGTGTGCTTTTCAGAGGTCTATATCACAGTCTGCTTTTATAGAGACATAAAATGACCCTCAGTTTTATAGCTTGTAAAATGGCTTTAATGAAATATCTGTAGTGTTTATGATGTGCAAGTTTTTTGAGATGCTGATGTCTCACTGTCTCTCTGAGTCTTCTGTAAATAAGCAGTAACTCAACAGGGTTTAGTAAAAGTACCTAATGGATAAGGCTGACAGGACAATTTCACTCCAGTGCCTCTAACATTTGATTGATTTATTAATGATAGAAAGCACAGAAATGGCCATTGGCTTGGGCAGGCACTGAACACAGTGACCTCAAGTAGTAAGTTGCTTTTTAACTGGTACTTAAAACACTGCTTATAGCAGCCATAGTACTCAGACAAGCTGTACTGCGTTTATGAGAACCTGCAGTATAGTTGCAAAAGGTATTTGCTCTTCTCTTCAGCTTTGCTTTAAAATGTGGGTGCTGCAAGCTCGTAATCAGTGGTTCTGGGGAAGAAAAAGAAGCACCCTGCCCTTCTCCCCAGGAAAACTAGCTGTTTATGTTATCTGGCTGCAAGCAGATTAGAAGTTATTAACTGCTTTTATTACCTTTCAAATCATTGATCACTCAAATGCATTTCATGTTTTAAGACTGCCTCCACTGTGAGTTGAGTTAAAGCTCCCATGAAAGTGAAAAAGAACAGCTTTTTGTTGAAGTGATCACAGAGATATTTTCCAGATCTTAGTCCTTGTCAGTATCCTGTTGTCTGGTCTTTGTACAAGCTGTCGCCATGTACGAATAAAGTCAACACAAGTGCAAACAGTGCTAACCTTCCTGATTTGAGGGAACATGGCTCTTGTTGTGCACAGAACTTGAGTGTGACTAGCATCAGCATGACAGACTTTGAAGCAGTGGTAAGGTGGTAAGTCCCAAGACCCATCCTGTTTTGTTCACCTACCATTGTTCCTCCTTCTGTCACAGCCTAAACTGGGAATGCCTGTGATAAATCACGAAGGGGTTCAGCAGCAAGAGGGTGAGGTGGTCAGGCCACTGGTGGTGGTCTGATTCAGTAAAATGTCAAACTTGCATTGAGGTGTTGCCATCTTGTGTTGCTAAAAAGATCATATGTGCTTAGGGTATTCAGACAATATTGCATCTCTCTGTTTTGGGAAGCCAGCCTCCCTGGACTCAGCACAAAATGTCAGGGATCTAGCTCAGTTCATGCTTCCTCTGACATGTGAGCAGCCACATGAATGAGAGGGGATCATCTGGAACCCAGCAGCCAGATTGAAGTCCTTTGGACAAACTTTATCTGCTCATGTGCAAATATATCCTAAGCCAGTTCAATGAATGAAAAGGGCACCTGTGATGGTTGTGTCAGATCTTGGCAAATCCTGGAAGGACCAAGTCCTCTGTTTCTGGGGCAAGCTCACACAAGGTCATCCAGCTGGAGCTAAAACTGTAATGTCAGGACAAGCTGGATTCAGGCTGGGGTATATAACTGGCACTGCTTCAGTAGCTGCAGTGGGTGATCACTCTTGTGAGGATGGGGCTTTTGGTCCATTCCCCTGGACATTTCTGAAGAACTTGTCACTTCAGCACAGCTACAACAGCATATAGAGTATGACTGTTGGGCAGCATCTCACATCAGCATTTGCCTGGAACTGAGCAAAGAGGAGGTGAGTGGTGCCTGTGAGCAGAGGAAGATGGGATTCACTGAAAGCCCCAGGGGTCTTTTGTAGTATACAGTTCACATCCACAGCTTACTGTTCAGTCAGTCACGCTGGACAACTTCTGGTGTTAGGCTTTCCTGCATCCAGCTACCTGGACACTTGGAAATATTTGTTTGGTCAGAGAGGTTCAAAAAAAGTTCCAGGCTTTGGTCTATATGTCCACAGTGCAGGGCAATGACATGATTGAGGGTTAAGGGTGTGAGGAATAACCCTGCTCCTCTCACAGGAAGGATGTTTATATGTTTTTATGGGAGGGTTGAAATTTTTTGGCAGCTGAAAACTTTGACAAACCTGACCAGCCTGCTTTTGTGCTGGGCACTGGGAGAGTTGGCAAGAGCTTGCTCTTTCAAGAGAAATCACACTCTTTCATATCTTTTTTCATCACACTCTTTTCATATCTCGCACATATCTTTCCATCTCTGAAGGTATAATGTAAGTTGATGTGTCCAGTGCCATTACTGGAAGGCGCTCAGAGTGCTGAGCACACATTAGGAACAAAGTAAGAAACAATGATAGTGAGCCGTGTATGATGTGGCATGTGCGGCATCAGGACCAGCCAAAGGCTGCTGGTATGGCTGAGTTTACAGCTTTACATTCCGGTTCTGGCCAGCTTTACAAGTGTGAAAATCAGCTCTAAAAGCAGACAATATTTTTCAATGGGTTAGCCTGCTCCCTAGACAGAGGCTCTGGCAGTACCCTTCTCTAGTTCTTCTGAACTCACTGCAAGCTCAGGCTCACAGCCATGCATTCCTGGAAACCCGAGTCTCCCAGAAGTACTGCCTGGAGCTTTGTGTGCAGAGAAAAATTTCTGCTGCCTCACTGGCCTTTTCACTCTTGGGAACCTCATCTCTGGGGATCCAAAACCTCTCTAGGGGTAGGCAGTGCAGGTATAACTCCAATGAGGTCATCGGGCTCAACTGACTTTTAATCCTCTTGGATATACAGTATACACAACTGTTTGCGTAGTGGGAGGGATTTTGTTCTTGAGCTGTCACCCCAGCCTAAGTTGGGTGTCACACAGAAGTCTGTATGTATTACGTCAACATTGTTACCTTTGTCAGCCAAATGAAAACTCTAAGAAGAAATACTAGATCTGTTTGACAAGCCCTCCAGCCAGAAAACTGTGTTGACTAACAGGAGTTGTGTTTCCATCACTGAGCATGGGCCACTCTCTGGCCTGTTGGGAGCATGGGCAGGGTGACCAGCCTGCACTTCCTGGGTCAGCTGTTTGCCCTCTAGAAATATTGGCACTGTGCTAAGTTTTTGTTTGCTTGAGCAGGGTTTTTTATTTATTATTCCAAGACCTCTGGAACTTCCTGGCTGGCCTGGGATACACTTCTGGTTTGTTTTTTTTCAAAGTCAATGTTAGGAATTTGGGTGAGCTCTTTCATAGGCTCTGAGTCCAGGTTTTCTCATTACAGATGTGAAGGATGGTTAGCAGATGGTGTTGGGGATCTTCCCAACTCATTTCTCAGAGAATTTTGCTATAGCTGAGATTTAAGTCATCCTTATTTGCAAAGATAAAAAGAAATGGTTATACTTTCTGCATCCTTTATATCATGATACTTTCACTGTACTTTTTTAGCATCATGCCTAATGTATTGATAGATTGTGCTTTTTTCCCGATAGACCTATTGATTCTAGGTTTTTTAAATATCTTTTAGCTTTCTTTATAAAATGTGTTGAATTCTATAGAATTTGCTCTAATATTATAGTGTATTTCTGCTTTTTTTTACTTCTTTTTTTTTTTTTAAATTTGGCTCTTAAGAAATTCCTACTATAAACCAAGTAATTTTTTTTTTAAATGTACTGTTGCTTTTCTTGGTGGGAAAGAGAGCTCTACTAAGGCATCTTTAAACATCCTTCAATAAGCGTTGTCACACTTACTTATATTTAGGGGTTTTCTCTCAGTTATTTTTGTGTCTGGTTCTTTCTAGTTTTGTGAAACTGACCTTTAGGAGATGTTTTGTACCGTGTTCTGTTTCCTTACCCCAAATGTAGTTGGGAACTGTGATTGGTTTTCTTCCAGCTACTGCAAGATTTCCTTAGAAATCTTAGAAGTCTTAGAAAGCTATCTATTATATGTAAGTGTTGAGATTTTTTAAATTATTTTTTAGCACCACAAACCCTCCAACATCTGCCATAAGCCTGAAATTACATCTCCTCTTGCTGTATATTGTGGGTAGATGCTTCAGGAGCTGCTCATCCATCCCACTGATTCACTTGTCTACAGCAAACTCCTATCAGTGATGCTGATGTACCGAGCCCATGGCCCCCTGAAATGAGCGGGGCCCTGTCACAGGTGGCTGGGCTTTCAGGGGGGGCTCTGCTGAGGGCAACAGGCTGTTTGTTGGTTAAACAGTAAGAAGGTTGTTGGCACTCCTGGGTCTTCCCCACCTCCTGGGTCCTCTGATGTGGAAGGGTGGCACCCAGTACCCCCTTGCCCTTCAGCAGGGATGGGCACCTGTGACATCAGAGGGGAGAGCTGCTGACAAATGTCTCAGCTCTTGAGGGGGACAGTCCATGCCACTGGTTGCTTTTAGCTTTGCTACTGATGCACCAACCGGTTGGTGAAGAATTTGCCATATCAAGCTGACTGCTAGTGTTCCCCGCTGCGCTGCCAGCAACGGGAATGGTACCTGCAGTGTTAAGGCTGCTCCAGAGAAGCCTGGCTGGGGCTGGAGCTCAGCACAGTGAGGGCATGGGCTGTAGAGCTGGTGCAGAGAAGTCTTTGAAGCTGGGGATGGATCTGTCCCTCTGCTGCAGCCCTCTGCTCCTGTGGCTCTGCAGGTGGGTGCTGGAGTGGGGCTGCTGGCTGGAGGAGGTGGGAGAAGCAGG